TTATATTTCAGCTACCAAAACCTCCTTCTTCTCCTTTGCCATGTGCAAGTCATTGTTAGAAGAGCCTCTTTGTTCAGGCCAAGAAGGCTGGAGTAAGGAAAGGGAGGTGCCTGGTTCCTCAACATGAGATCCCATTAATATTACTGATAGACTATTCTTTAAAGAGATCCATCTGTTTCTTATTTGGCATATTCAGAATAGTAGCTTGTTACATTTTTACAAGAATGTGTGTGATCCAAGAAAAGCAAAATCTCATGTAATGAAAGAAAAAGAAAGAATACTTATTAAACAATCCCATCAATGCTGTACAATTTAAACATCCATCTCTAAATGGCTTCAGTCTGTTCCATTCACAGCTGTCAAATTTCTTTGCTACAGGGGAAGGGGACAGAAGGTTGCTTATTTCCCTACAGTTTTGCAAAATATGCATAGAAGTAACATCTCCTAAGTACATAATAAATTTTCTCTTCTTGTAAATCACTGTGAAATGCTGCCCTTCATAGCTGCATTACAAATAGGCAGAAAAATTCTAAGCTGCCTTGCAAGAATTTAAGCTGAAGGCAGGATCTGAGGTAGGATGAAGTTAAGTTAGGACCAGTCTATGATAGACGGTGTCTTTGTTTGAATAACAACAGATCTGAGTGGGGAAGTCTAGAAGGCGTGATGCCAAAGGTGGGGGAAAAAATTGTTAAAGCATAAACACTAGGTCCTTCTTCAAGTGTCAAGTTTGTGATTTCCTAATAACAGAAAGGGCCTGTATTCAGCTTGCACTATATAGATATATTTTCAAATATCTGAAACAGTCAAGAGCATAGTTTCTAAGTGAATGTTGCCAATATAAAGTTATTTGGAATCAAGTGCTTCTGCTAATGAAGAATTAAGCCTAACTATTAATATTATTTATCAGCACTGCCCCTTCTTCTGGCTGGTACTTGAATCAACATTACAAAATGTTATATGCCTTCTATACTTATAAAGTCATTTCATTGTATTCTAAAATACAACTAAAGTATCTTTAAGGTCCCCTCCAACCCAAGCCATCCTACGATTGATTGTAGGATACTATTCCAATTTGTGAATGAATGTTATCTCTTGACAACAATCATGCATAAGTATTTATACAATATTTAATATATTACTTGAGCAAGGCAATGACAGGAAGAGGTTGCAAAAACCAAACCTAATTCTGAACGAACAGTGAGAATTCACAGTTGAGGTTTTGAACAGTGAGACCTATAAAAGATCAGAATAAAAGACTAGGCTTATGAGAGGTTATTTGATGTTTAGAGACATTATTTTCAACAAGGTTTCTATGACTTCTATCACTTATTTTATGTAGCTGGAGATCAGGACATGCTAGGACTCAGCTGTAATCAGGCCAAGTAGATAATGCAGTTAAATGACATTACCATTAGCCTCCAAACAATTGCCTTTTTAAAATTGCCATACAACTGTGTACAAGAAGCATTCTTCTTTTTATTGAGAAGTACTTGTTTCATAGACATGAAGAGAGAGAGTAAAACTGGTGTCAGATAATAGCTGCTAAAATTTTACTGAGTTTGCAGATACAAAATCACACATCAGCAAAATTAAATGATTGTCAGGATTCAGAAACAAGAATTGCCATTGAACCAAATTTTAGTGGCAGAACCACAAGCTGATATGCTTCCTTTTCAGTTTCAAAATGAAAGTGTAGTCAATCACTTTCATGGGGCATGAGAGAAGCAGGAAAACAAACTCTCCTGTGCCTTCAAACTCAAGCTGTTTGTGCCTGACAGAAAGAGGAGCACTGCCTCCTGTGAAAACTCCAAGTGCAAAGGGCAGCAAGCACCACCCACCCCTGTTGGTCCCTACTCCACTGCCAAAAATCTCTCCATTGATCTTCTACAATGCCTGGTGCTCAGTCAGCCCAAAAATAACACTGGTGCTATGCTTCAAATTTGGGATTTGAAACAATGCAAATGGTTAGGAAAGGAGTGCTACTGATTAGCACAGACAGCAAGGGATGAAATACAGAATGCTCTGTGGCAATGAGGGCTAGTATAGGAGCAGGGCATTTCATCTTGTCATATATTAGCCTAATGGGATATTCCACTAGCTGCTCTTCATGTAGTGCCAGTTTGCAATACGGCTGGAAAGAGGTTTTAGCACAGAAAATAGAAAAGACCTCTGGTTTCCAAGGCTGGAAGGATCATGGAACAGATCTTTCAAAACTATTGGAAAAAGATGTATCATGAGGCATCATTCCTCTCTGGGACTACAGAGGAGTGCTGATGGTTTGCAGAGACCACTTGATTCCTCCAGCTCAGAAGAGTTCTCATGATAAATATATCCTCCTCAGGATATACAGACACACTTCAGAGGAGACAATGCATTTCCTTTCAGCTGTCTAGCAATGAAGACATCTTGATCCCAGAGGCAATGTTAATCAGACTCCAAAAGGACCTCAGCCTACTGGTTATTATTTCAAAACTTTGCTCGAAAGAAAAGAAATGAAAAGAGAAAGTAAAGAGAAACCTAAGAATCCAAATATATCTACAAGTGCATCCTTGACACTGTTGGACCTTCAGAATGGGTTGTGCTGGAACTTCCTGTGACTGAGTAATGCACCAGAAACTCTACAGAAGACAGGAATTCCTACACACTGCCTTCACCATTTTTGATGGAAAACTTGTGATATAGCTTATTAGCTAAGTTTGTTATCTACTTTAGTTATTTTTAGTTCTTTCTCATCTAAGACTGAAACAATAGAGTAGAGATATTTTCAAGCCTGAAAACCTATAAACCTGTACTTAAGCAGGCAGTTCCAATTCCTGCTTTCATCAGAAGTGTGATTCATCCCTGATAACACAAGACAGACAGCACATCCACCTGAGGAATCACAGAATAAGCTGAGTTAGAAGGGACCCACAAGGATCATCAAATCCAACTTTTAGCCCTGCACAGGATCACCCCCAAGAGTCAGCATGTGCCTGACAGTATTGTCCAAATGCTTCTTGAATTATGTTAGGCCTAGTGTTGTGACCATTCCCTGGGGAACCTGTTAAAGAAATCAATTTCTAGCACACACGTAAATTTTATCTACTTGTTTACAAATTGTGAACCAAAAAATGACATGAAACACCATATATGGGGAACTTAGGAACACAAACCACAGAACTATTCCAATCTCAAGTAGATGCAGAGAAAGAAGAATCTCAATTAATATCAGACTACTCTCACTGTTGTCTTATTGCACCAGTGAATAAAGACAGTTGCCCAAAATCTATGTCTCATTATAATCCATCAGTAAAGCAACTAAGGTTATAGGATCTTAGGATGATAACTTAGACTTCTGGAAAGTATTGGGAGCCTGGGTTTAGAGTTGGAAGAACACAGGCTTTTCACAAGAAGAGACACAGTCACAACTGACAGTTCATCAAAACTGAAATTATTCCCATAAGAACTTCCTGTCCTCAAAAAAAAAAAAAAAAAAAGAAAAGGAAAAACCCCAGGTTTTGAAATTCTAGAAATATGTCATTTCAACATTTTTTAAAACAAAAACTCTTGAGTGTGCGGTTAAAAACATCTTTTCCTGTTGAAACTTAATTTAGTTTCTATTAAAAGGTTAAAAAAAGAAAAAAAGGGGTCACTGTTAAAATGAAATATGTTTGTTTGTTTCTCAAGTCACTCATATATTCACCGAGTCCCATGCCAGGCCTAAAATTTCAAAATCAACAGAATACTTGTAGGAAAAAACTGTTCTGTATGCCTACACAGCAAAGGGAACATTAGCAGTTCAAGCTCTTCCCAGTTTCCTTGCAGTGCAGCTCAGAAATTACCTTTGAGAATCCCCCTGACGAATGGAAATACAGTCTAGTTCCCCAACCTTTTAAATGTTTAGAGACCTTTTTAATTTATTTTATATTATTATACTTTTTTGGACAAAAACTACACAGCTAGCCCTTAGGGGACTAAAATGGAGGAGTTACTTCAACCAAAACAATCCCAAACTGTTCTTTTAGATTAATGAAATCAAATTATTAAATATATATACTTATATTTTACTATAGCAAATGCATGGAAAATAGATTAGTGACTGTTGATGCTAGAACTACTATGGCAAACTGGGTTTTGGGGGTTTTTTAAAGGATTTGAAAAACTTTAGATCAGTTAGAGGCTGAACTCATATTTTTCATCATCCATCTTTTCCAATCATCTTCTCAGAAAAAATACAAAGCACAGTAACAAGAAGAAATTGAACTTATTTGAATCAGTTTAGGTTATAAATTTATGAAACTTAAGACCAGAAAAGACTGCTTGATAAAGCAATCTGAGTGCTTCTATAGGACAAACTAACAAATTTCCTCTGGGTTCTTTCATATCGTGGTCCCATCACTGTATCTGACTGACACAGAGTGTTTGGCTAGAGCAGGTTTGACAACAGCCCTCCACCTGAGGGACAGCTGAGATATTTATTTAGGCACAACATACATATATAGAAGAAGATGGCCACTAAGGGAGTTAAGACACAGACACAAAGGTAACTAGCCACTGACTGCAATCTAAAACCTTAAAAACTCCCTCTGGAATGATGCATATCCATTTTAGATATAAAATCATCAGCTTTCCCTGAAATGGTTGAAAAGCTGTACCATGATGTTTTTTCAGTTCTTCTAGGATTACCTAGGACATTCCAACCGTGCTGCCAAACCCAGTCAGCATTGAAGAACTAGTTCATCTCATGTCCAGCTGTTCAGTCAGGCACACCTTTAACAAACTTTCAACTGTCCCACTGAATTTAGGTTTCTGCAGTGCCTGATGCCCCAAAATTCTTGAAATCTGGAGGGGGTAAAAAAAGCTCTTTTCAACTGCAGGACTGCTATAGGAAAAAAATCTTCTTTTAAACAGTGTGCTAGATTATCCTACAAGGAGAAGAAAATGGAAGTTTAGATTAAAAAATCATCTACAATAATGAGAAATATCCTCAGAGTTCCTTCATAGGATGTCTTTTATTTCACTGAATGAGCCTAGTTTATTGATTTTATTGACTATAATAGATCAGGTAGGGAAGCAGCAGCCTGTATGTTTACTTGTTTATACACACTTTCATGAACTAAAGTACATTCTGCTCTTCTGGGAAGAGGAAGGGTCTCCTTAGTCCCCAAAACCATATTTCCAGTATTGTAAAACAATGCTAGTAATATGAGTTGCTGTGACAGAAACATGTAGAAACATTACAGTCTGTAATTTTTAAAATAATTTGGCATAATCAACCCAAAATCAGAAGATGCATTCAGATTAGTGCTGTGGTTATCAGTACTTCTAAGAGTTCTTTGTAGGGTCTTTGTGAAACACAGACTATGGCTCTTAAAGCTAGAAAGGACCACATAGGATATTTAATGAACTTCTCTGTAGCGCAACAATATAATTTCACCCAGCTGTGTATCCATTGTGTGCTAAGGCATACCAACCCCTCTCAGTTTGCAGATTTCAAGAAATGGTAAACTCACTGCTCCTCTTCATAATTTGTTCCAGTGGCTGATAACTTCAATGTAGCAATTGAGGAGTAACTGAGGAGCTGGCAACAAAAAAATCCTGGGAATAGCACTACCTGTTTAAACACTGATACTCAAGATAATTAACGTTCTTTTTGCCAGGTCTGTTCATTGTAAAAGCAACAAAGTTTTATGACTTTTTTTAAAGCAAATTTTTGCATTTGTTTCTCATTCATTCATGTTTCTAGAAGCTTATAAAATTTGGAGGCAAATCCATGTTCTGTTTTCCATCTCCATAGGCCACAATGCTTTCAAACAATGATTGGTACTTTCTTCTGTAGCTTTCTGTGATTTTCATGCAGCTTTTTTCAGGACAGAATGGAAGCCACCTTCTCACAATGAAATTATTCCCATACGGATTCATAGCTGAAAGTTCATGAGAGCTGCACATGCACAAAAAAGGAATAAGAAATGTGAATACTCTTCGGGATGCCACAGAACACATTTCCAGATAAAATAATAGTCTGCATTTCTGCAGATTTTTCCATCTTCAAAGCATTGGACGTGCATTCATCATCAGATATTAAATATCCTAAGTGTTATTTTACTGAGGTTCAGCCTCTGACCATCATGGTCAGATTCAGCTGCTGCAGTTCCAGGAATGACAAAAACCATTGTGTGTGACTGGCAGACTCTGCAGTGCACCCGACTTTGATACATACATTGTCAGCAGCACTCTCGGAAATCTCACTCCCTGGAAGACGAGTAGGATATGGAATGAGCATGTGGCACAAAGGCTGACTGCTACCATTTATTAAGACCAGGTGGTCTTGATGGGTGGGCTACAACCCCCTTATCTGCCCTCCCTCTGCAAATCTGTACTTACTTTGAAGCTTTACGCTTACAAGTTCTGAGTCCTTTATTAGAAGCTGAGGCTCAGCAGCACAGAGGATTAGCCTTTATTGTCTCACTCATGGCCAGGCCTGTCTGAAGGTCCTTTTCTTCTGTAAGAAGTGGTTATTGACAGCAGAATTCCTGTGGAGGATAACTCCCAGAATACATCCGTACATGGCAATGAACCATGGTACAGTGACTCCTGAGCCAACCTGACAGCTGAGATAGTCCTGAAGCACTTGCAGAGGAGCTGCTGAGGTCCCAGAGGAGACTCAGATATGTTTATATGGCCCTGCACCCAAGGAGTCAGCCCTTGCTCTAGTTCAGAGTCATACTGCTGAATACATTGATACAGCTCTACCAGCTCAATGCCCATCTCACCATGACTACAGCCACCCATGGCCAGGAACTGCCCACCACAGGGGATTGTTACAGCAGTCAGCACTTCAGAAATGAATGCGCAATAAAGACATAAAAAAAGCAAGAATGTACTTTAAGGTTTCATGTTTAGCATCTGTTACACTGGTGAGATGGAAGCCTAAGTTTGACTGATTTGATCAAACTAAGCAATTCAAGCATCTTCTCCCTAATTTTAGGCCAAAGAAAATTGTAGCAATGCAGAAGCAGATGATAAATCAAAAGAAGAAAAATAGAAATTAAAGCTCAGTTCTGGCCTTTCATCTTTATTACCCTTCCTTATGTGCATATGGTAGGTGTTCAATTCTTTCCAAGTCCATATGAAATTCCCTTGTGCTTCAGGAGCTGTAGAGCTGTAGTTGTCTATAAAAAGGCAACCTAACAGTTTCCTGTGGCTGAGAGTTAAATGTGTTATTTGTTACCAGCTGGTTCATAGATAGCTTGAGCCCATGCCTTGGTTTTAAGTGATCAAGCTGACTTTAAACCACTCGCTCATGGGGTGCATTCATGTATAGAGAGAATTCTGTTGCAGTATTTTATTTCTGAATTATGCCATATGACTTTTTTTCCCTAAACCACTATTAAAACCAGAATCTGTAATATGCCAAACGCAGACTGCATTTTTTTGGAAAGCTGATACCAAACGTAACAGTAAATGAACCCTTCTGAAAGGTTAAAGTTGCTTTCATATAAAACATTTTCTACCAGGAAATAGAAGTGGAATGTTGAACTAAGCATTTAACTTGAAAGAACTGTGCACAGACTCCAATGTTTGCATTATATTTTAAAATAAAAAAAGCAAAGGGTTTTCATGAGCATACATATTTCTAGCTTCATAAAAAGGGTATTATGGTGTCAAGGCAAAATGAATCCCAGTATTTTGGATGCTTCTTTTAACCTTCTAAAAGCTCCCTGCCTGACCATTAAATATTCTAGGGTGAGCTTTCACAATATGGTAAAATCCATCTAATGGTTCTGCTCCCTTCACTTCCCATGCATCCTTTCTCCTTTCTTCCCTGACATGCAGGCCCAACCCTTCCCTTCCACTTTCTGATTTTCACATGGCTCCATGATGAATTTAATTAGATTACTAAACCAACAGAAAGCTATCTATGTTTTTATTTTGCTAAATTATTTTCCTACCAGCTCCAGGGGTTATACAGAAATCAGAGCTGGTGCAGAAGCAATGGTTGAGAGCAGCACCCAAGATTTTCTTGGAAGACCTCAAATCCTTGACGCCCTTATTCTACATAATGTGATTGTCTCTAAAAATACACTTCCTGTTTGAGATGGCAGACCTGTTGCAGTAGGTTCTGCAAAAAACAAATGTATGAAATTAATCATACCTTGCTACTTACAGAGACAGCAAAGATTAATGGCAAACATGCACCATGCATGCACCATTGCCCATTCTCAGATGCAAACATTCCTGCATGAGGGCAGTGACCTCATGACACATCTTTATAGAAAGCAAACAAAAAGTGTCTGTTTCCTGGGTACAATCTTTTGCTTTGGAAGGAAATAAAACAATTCCAACTTTATACAGTTTCCTTGAACATTGATTTTGATTCTGTGATCATTCAGGAAGGGAAGAAGCCATCCAAATGAACCTGACACACTAAGCTGCTGCTGATTTGCCAGATTCCAGTGTCCTCAAGTGTGACACAACATAATTATTCAGTGTCCTGTATTTAAAATCAGAAGTGATTTAATCTGGCTCTCTGCCATACCACTTGCTGATGTGTTGACACCATGTAAATAATGCATAGCTCTGTGACCACACCACTTTCATGCCACATGCTGGGAGAAACAGACAACGCCCGCTATTATTATTAGCTACATCTTAGATACCTTGGAAATTTGAAAAATTAACATCAAAATTACTTCAAATATTTGTAGTCTCCAGCTCCAAACTTCTTCATTACAACTCAAATGGAACCTGTGCATTGACTGTGATTAGAAAAAGAGATTGCTGATTTATATCTCACGCCCTTTAAAGGTCACTCTTCTAAGATTGTTTATAAATAACTGAGTTTGTTAACTGACAAAAGAACACTGGCAAGACTTATCTCTGCTGACTGGAAAGGCCACCATTTTATGAGAAACCTCAAAATATAATAAAACCCCAGTTCTAGACTGCAAAATTTGAAATACTTTGACTTCAAAATTTGAAATTTGATATTACATTGCTCCCTGCTAACAGTACACAATCTACTTCTACTCTTCAATAATTTCAAAAGGTAAACCTACCCCAATGCCATCAAGGCATGCTCATCAAACCAAAGTGAAATTGTGGTTTTCACTGGGGAACACTGTAAAGCAAAAAAGATTATTTAATATGCTACCTACTTATTACATGTGAGTATTTTATCATCTAAATATCATACAACCTCAGTCATATGAGGGCAGACAGCAATATAAGCTGCTTTTCACATGACTTTTAAGAAGATTGGAAGTTAACATCTATATCACTGGTACCCAGCTACTGTTCCATACACTCTCCCCTTCAATCCACTGACTACAAACAGAGAAGCGAATGATTGTATTTTTACCTTTTTGCAGTTTACAATAATGGAAAAATTGCTCTTCTTTATGTCCCTGGGCCTATGCTGTCAGAGCAGGACTGTTATGTGCATTCTACCTGTGAAGACACACAGGAGTAACTGTCAAGTCCAGAGAGATAACAGAATACAACCATGAAAGCTAGAAGTTGGGTGGTTACAAGAAGAAGGTTAGAAGTTGGGATGTCTGTGTTACTGTGAATTTACCTTAATCTTCACTCTGTGGTCATCACTAGTGAAATGCAACTGTAGAGATATGCATTTGCCTACTGACTTTAGATTCTCAAAGCCTGAAATAAAAGAATATCTGGCTCAAACCCACTGAACTGTGCAACTGGATCATGATTTCTCAGGGCAAAACAGATGCACGCATCATATGCCTTGCCCAAATAAATTCATTTAGAAACTTCGGAGCATAGCAAATATGAAAAAGAAAGGGAGGGGTTCTTTTCTTTTTCTTCTCCTATGAGACAGTCAGAGTACAGAGAAATTTGATTTCTTTCTGTTCAAGGATGAATACATTGGACAACATTCTGTACTTGTCCACATTGTTCAAAAGGATCAGCATTTTGAGAGTCCCAAACCAAGACAAATTCTTTCTGTTTTCTCCATTAAGAAGACCAGGAATCTTGTGGTCTCTTTTCAAAGAAATTACTTTGTCCAGAATCTTGCCTCAGAGATTTATTTTCACTATGTTATTTAGAACAGAAAACAACACTGGAATGACTTCCTAATTTCTTTAGTAAATCTGTTCTTAATCTACTTTACTCCAAGCATTTTACAGTTTCTTACATGATGTTCTACTCAGATGTTCTGTAATTACACACACAGTGGTCAAACTTTGTCTTGACCAGGAAAGACTGGCAGTAATTCCAGTAAATTGAAAGGAAAAGTTTGGGGTAAAGAGTAGGATGGTTGAGAAGATAAGTTAGTGCTTAAGATGTGATTTCTGTTCTAACAGCTTCTCTGGGTAATGGAGCTGCCCCTCACAGAGTAGTGACAAAGCCTGTCTTTTGGAAGTTTCCTACAGTTTTTGTTTTGCCTGGGGTTTGGATTTCACAAGGCTAACTAGATTGTCCTTGTCTAGGAAGCCCCAGGGGTGAAGCCAGATGGTGACTGTGTGCAAACTGCAAAGACTGAAAGTGGGAAAAGGGTAGTGGCTGAAAACCAGGGAATAAAAACCACTGAACTAGATGAGTGGGTAAAGTACAAGTTAACAAGAAGTTACGAAGTGGCATGACAAGGGCAATGAAGTGTGCCTTTCATTGGCAAAAATGTAAGTATTTTGAGGGGAATGTCAAATGTATTTGGGCCTTTTTTCTAAAGTCCACTCAAAGTTTCCTTTAGCACGGCATTCTCTCTTCCTTCTCAATGAATTCTTGTGACAATTCTGTTAGCTACAGAAAATTCCTCTAAATTCTTGTTGCTAGATGTATACCTCTAGATGCAAGAATAAATTATTCCAATCGAGTCCAGCACTAGACAAGTAACAAGTAAAAATAGCACAACTTGCACATTCTTACTAAGAGCTAGCTCAGCAGTCAGCAGCACTGCCTGAACTATAAAAACTCTTGTTTTGTGATAACCTAATTTGATTATTTCCCCTACCAAAATGTCCTATTTCATTGACTTAAAATGTACAAGTCAGTCCCACATTTTGTGCAGCTGAAAGTGCATGCACACTGAAAGAGCAGATTCTAGGTTAATGAGAGATAGTGAGAGCAGCAGTGGGTCTCTTTGGAGGAAATGCTGCACTCTTCCTGTCATTGTGGTTTCTCAATGGTAAAGGAGGAAGGAACACAGCAAATAGAGACTCTGACACATTTAAAGGCAAGCTTTCTGATGGTTAATGTTTCTAGAGTTTTATCTGGTGTCCACATTTACAAACTCAAGCACATGCAGTTTCACAGAAACATTCAAAAGGGAAGAGAGAGGAGATGACCAGCACATGCCTGAGCTGCTGCCTGTGTTGGTGGAGAAGGGTGTGCTGGGTGCCAGGACAGGCTGGTAGGGCAGCAGTGAGAGCTGTGGGACACAGCTGGGGATGCCATCACAGCTGTGGCAAGAAGCTGGGTGGAAGGGCAAAAAATGCACAAATGTACCTGAGCCAAATCAGAGCCCAGGACAATTAATTTCCTTGCTTCTTAGTTTTGTCATTTGTAGAGAAGTTTCAAGTGACACACAAAAATAGCATTTTGAAACTTTTCTTTGATAAGCAGTGCTAGATTTTTTAAATTTTCTACTGCCAACATTTTAGGTCACTTCTAAAAAAACATGCACAATTCCACACAGGTGTAATCTCTGCTTGATTGTTCACAGTTCCAGTGTTATACTCTTACTTATCTGTTCTCTTTGGCTAATGTGGCTTGATGATTTCACTCTGTGATTTTCCTTTTCAGTTGTGTACATCAGATAGCAGATATTCATACTTCCCTTTCCTACATCATGTGACACCTTTTCATAATGCAGTGATAATGTGGCAGACTTGCTTTTGAGAACTAGCCTTGATCAACTCTACAGCCCATCTTAGAAATTAGCATTGATTTTTACAGTATAAATTAGGGAATGCAAGGTATTTATGGATTGAAAATATTGAATTCTGTGTTACACCTGCATAAACTCAGTACTAGTCTGAAGATTCATTTGTTATTTAAATCTAATTCTATTTCTGAAACAGCCTCTTTAAAACTGTATCTGCTTCATCTCTGTGCCAGGCTGGTCTCTCTGATATGACTGATGCTTTGGAAGACATTGCCCTGAAAGGAGACTGTGCTTGCAGCAGAGCACTTGAAAGCCAGGGTACCGCCATCCATCTTCTCCTTTACGGCATGTGCTGGGATAAACAATGGGGAAATCACACACTTACTGAGGCTGCATGGAAAAATGATGAATCAGAGTTTCATGGAAATCTTGGTGAGGGTGCTAGGTTACAATTTTGAATGTGTTCAGCTTCCAGATAAATATATACTTAGCTTTATGTAAAGAGCTTAGGTGTCTTTACTTAATTCAGCTCAAGGTGACTACTTTCAAAATCTTCAAAATTGCAAGAGGCAACTACTTGAAGGCCAAGATATGCTTAAAAATATGAACCCCAGCAGTAGTCTCAGTCTGCCAGCTCAATTTAGTCTTGAACTCTCCACCATACGAGTGTTGCCTGCCGACCCACTAGAAATAGGTCATTACCTACTTCTGAAGAGTAACTCAGAGTAATGAATGGGAAATATCCCTCTTGTATTTGAGCCTGTATTTGAAGTTGTGACATAGAGGTAAAAAGCTAACCATGCCTTATAACCTTATTATCCTAACCCTCCAGTCTTACTGTCCTTCATACCTCTAATTAAGCCTGCAAAAAATAAATACCTTACTGACAGTTTTTCCTCAGGCTTGGTATGAGTAATCTGACTACATCTGGAAAATTGCTGTGAGAAAAAAAGACATTGTGAAACAATTTTTCATTCTAAGAGGTTTTTTTTATTCTAAAGATATCAATTTTAAATGCAAAAAAATTAAAACATTCTAAGCTAGAGTCTATAAGTCTGAAACTAGAGTAAAATATACATACTCCAGTTACAATAAAGAAAATTTTATCAGTGAAAGATCTAACAAGCCAAAGTGCTTTCCTTTTCCATTCCAACTAAATCATACATTATTTGGGGTAGAAACTTGGCAGGAAACTCTTTTGTATTATCCCTACATTGTGGCTGGACTGATTTCTTTATCCTTTTTTGATAGATGGATGTCTAGCTGAGCTCTGAATATCTTCAGCAGTGCTGATTCCAAAGGTCCATTTGTCAGCTGGTTTCCTTGGCTGTGAGTTCTTATGTTTATAAACTTTTCCCTGATATATAATTCTAATTTTTTCCTCACAATGCTTCGAGTCACTTCTTGCTTGCTTGCTTAACTAATGAGAATAATCAAATATTATCTCTTTTTCATTTACTCTCTATTTCAGACAATAAGAGGTCACTTTAAACTTCCTGAAATTAACATGATTGAATTAATCTCAACAGCATACCATGAACCTCATTTTGCAAGCCTACCATCAATTTTCTTACATAGCTCAAGATATAGACAACTTTTTAAAACAAGTTTCTAAAATCAGTTACAGTACTTCTGCATATAACCATAAAAGACCACAAACAAGACTAAAGTTTTCCTTTCTCATTATGTACATTCTCATGGATTATGTTGTATAAATTGTTATAGTAGCCATTTATGTGGACCTTTCATCATTCTAGAAAATGTAAGAGTTTGCAGAGCTGAAAAATATCAGTGCTCCAAAAAAGAATGACGCTGATTGTTGAGAAAACAGTTGGAGAGACTGACTCTATAGAGCAAAGAAATTGCATAGTACATCAGAATCAGTAATGTCACTGAGTTGAGAGGCTGGTGTCTCTGTAACCACTCCAAGATACTTAAGTAAAGACAAGGAAGGAGAGATTTATTTCAAAGAGAATGAAGGTAGCTCAGAGAAAAGGATAGCAGGCTGTGAATTGCCATCTTTGAAAAGGAAGTGCTTTTAGGAGCCGATGGGGGGTGAGGGGGGCAGTCTAAAACTGACTAAAATGCTTTGGGAAGTTGTTTCTACACTGGGTAACTACAGCAGACTGTTAGCCAAGCAGCACCAAGCACTCAGTTCATGGCTGAGAACCCCAAAATAAAGGAGGCTGAACAGCAACCTGAATGCAGAAAATGGTAAAGTGAGGTAAGTCTACCTTTCCTCTAAACAATTTCTACCCACAAACAGGTTCTTCCTTGGTATGTGCAGAGTTTTGTACATTCCCTCCCAAGGTACCCAGTCATGGTCCTTGGCACAGTATAGTACATCTTTTCTGGATAAATTCTACAGGGTGTATTAGAACACAGAAATTCTCTGGTAGACTTAGCCCTGGGTTGGATTTTCACAAAATGCTAATTAAATCAAAAGTATTGAGCACCTGCAATAGCTTCTGCAAATTCCCCTAAACACATCTTTATCCTGCCTTTGAACAACTGACTGCAAGGAACTGGTCATTGCAGCTTCATGGCTCAGAAAACGGATGCATGAACCCACAGAAATCTGGATCAGGATAGTATGACGCTGGGAGTCTTTTCTATTAACAGGATGAGCACTTGGTTCAGACTGTGTTTGCTCAAGCTTACAGACACATCACATTCCCATCAAACATGCTCATATGATTAGTGGGAGCTGTACCAGAATTTGTCCCATGAAGTCAATTAGTCTAATTTGCCAAGGCATTCTCACACTACTAACCTGGCATGCATCTTTCTAGTTACCATGTAATTGTTTACATTTTGTCAGTAGTTACACAGTTCCAAACGTGCCAAAACCATTCAAATGTTTTTGACCATTTCTCTAGTTCAGTTCCACCCATGAAAAGTAACTTAGCCAATTCCAGTTCTAAAAGAACTGCTTCATCTAGCCATTCATCCCTTGTAGTGACAATTAAATAAGTTGTTTTAGAGGAGTGCTATGACCACTGAATATAAAACTCACAATTGCACCAGACCTGACCTCTCCCAGATAGCTTTTAGCTTCTATGCTATTTCCTCTGAGCTGTGAATTCTTTAACCCATACATGTGCATTGGGAGCGTTGTGTTCAAGGAGCACTTTAAGTTCTCCTTTTCACTGTAGGACTGTCACTTTTAAGTGAGAAATGTGGTTGTTTTCTTAAATAAAGGAAGTGTGAGTAATTCTGTGAAGCCACGAAGACCAAAATCTGCATATATTTGTTCCAACACCTCATATCATTTTAGGTTTTGAAGTTCTGATGTCCAAAATAACATTACTGAAATTACAGTGCTTTTATGCTATCAAGTCCATCTAGGAGAATTGTTTTCCTGACAATGAGGATAAAATTTCCGAAATCAGAATACTGTATTTGCAAGTTTCCTTATTGTGCCTCCATCTGTCTACTTGATAATTTGCTGCTAAGCATTACTACTATATACAAACCACCTGGAAATACTCCTCCCATGTTCAAGAGCCACTAGACACTACCTGACTCTGAGAAAAATTTGATCTTGCTGGGATACCTGTTTTTTGCATTTAGATTTGTCTCTCCCACTGGATCATACCTGGAGGATGCCACATACTTAAATTTGTACCTGGAACATGTAACTGCAGGCTCTGACAGAAGTAGACAGACAAGCCAGTTCTCTGATGGAACTGTCCTCACAGGTACAGCTGCACTGATGTGCTGCCTAGAGAAAAGCCACTTTGAAGTCACTCCTGCATGAAATATTTGCATGCTCTTTAGGACAGCAGGAAACGTCATGCTCCTGGGCTGCTGCCTGTTATCATTCAGGTCCTATCTGCTTCAGCCAGCTCCAGAAGATTGAAGCTTAGCCCATTGTAAGCTCAATGAGAAGTTGAGCACAGTGACCTTGAGGAAGCTACTAAGAACAGTCCGCATATGGCCAAACCTCTGGCCACACAAGCTATCCACCTGAGCCTTGCAAAGCAACCAAGTACCCCACCACACACCTGAGAAAGCCAACAGGCACATGGGACACCCAGGATCAATCAGCAGCAGAAGATAATCAGTTCACCACCAGTACACAGACCCACGCAGACGCTGAACCTGTCAGGGACAATCTGACAATACGAGTTTCAGAAGCAGGCATGGGTGCTAGTACACCCTGCTGATCCTCACCTCCTGACCAGAACACCTTGCTGGGAGGCCTAAAGTGCTCTCAGGATGGGATAACTAACCTTCAAGTCCTACTGAATCATCTACAGCCTACAAACAGACTCACATCTACTTCCATATCATGTCTAAGGGTAGGGATGCTTTTGAGGCCAGAATCCCTTATTTTAACAAGGGAATAATGTCTGAAAGCATTCTTCCTGAGGTTCAGAAACTCTGGATCTTGCCACCTTTAGATAAAACCAGTTAAATATGGTGACATTTCAGGTATGAGAAACTTTCTTGTGTATGATTTGAGGATGACAGAACATAGGTTCTTAGGTGGGTAAAAGGAGAAAAGTCAGGGCAACTAATTAATTTCCTGAATGCTTCAGAGCAGGAGCTCAGGAGAATCAAATTCTAATTTGAATGAGGTGTCAGGGAGACTAAAAGCCTTGCTAATACAAATACCTGCATGAAGTCACTAATGTAAATTAAATTTATTCTAACCCAAGTATAGCCACTTAAGTCTATGGTGAAACTTTCAGTGACAAATATGGGAGCAGGCTGAGACCTCACAGAAGCTTCTTTTAAAGAACTTCTAAACTTTCACCTCACCTCTTTAAAGCATTTTTGTAAGCACGTGCACCTCAAAGGTTTTATATAGCTGGTAAGCTAAAACATATGAGGAAGAAATAACTTGTTCTAAGCCACAGAGGAAATCTGTATCCAAGCTAAAAATTTGACTCAGTAGTGATATCCTGTTCTTCTCACTGAGCTTTAAAGAGCACAGGACAGAAACGATGTTGTCCATGAGTTAAAGCTGCTTTCCCTTCCCTTCTTTATGAAGAAAAGTGGCCATGATGACATTAGTATTAGCTCTACAATTTTCCTTATTAAAAATGGACGATAAACCCCATTTTAAAGCATCCATTCCAATTTAGTTAGGCTGAGATTTAAGTGTTTAATGCACTTTAAGTAGCAGCCATAGGAACTGCAAAAAGCCTAGCATGTTTAATCATATCCTTTCAGCTGTAACGTTGAAATACTTACAAAAAATCTATAGACATGGCAGAAGCATGGGAAAACACTTCAAGTTTCCTTACTATTTTGTACTACAGAAATCAGAAAGATTAATTCTTCTTGAAATGCTTAATAGTTTCTTTGAAAATAAAACAAAGCATGTATAACTACACAGGTGATTTTCAGCTTATGACCTCTGACAAATGTCAATTCTTTGAGAAAATGATGAAATTGTGTATAAAATCATAATTAAAAAAAAAAAAAAAAAAAAAAGAAAGAAAGGAAAAATAACCCAGAAATGAAAAAAAAAAAATCCAGAAAACCAGAACAGCAGAAATTGGACAGTGAAAAAATGGCATTGAGGCAGATTTCAGGAAATATATTTTCTTTTTCTTCTGCAGTGTGACATTCCAAGATATTTTTAAATCACAGATATTGAAAACAGATTCCCATACAATTCTTAATAAGTTACAGTAGCCACCAGAGTTAGTGGTTTCTAACATGTGGCAAAAAGTATAATACTTCTAACTCAAGCCATGTCATGCTGGTATTTTACCAGCATTCCTCATGCTATTGTTACAATTCCACTAGTTTCATGGCATTTAATTCTTTCTGAATATAAAAACAGATTATCTCCCTTTCTAATATTAATAGTGAGCAGTATAATCATAATAACCATGGTATGTTTCATCCCACTGTCTCAAGATACTTTGATCCTTACCTCTGATTTTGGAGATGGAGAAATTTCAACTCAGAATAATGAGGTGGCTCTCTGGAATCAGCCAACAGTAAGGTCACTGTAGGGCCTAGAACGGAAAAAAACAAAAGGAGAACTTCACAAATTTATAAATCCTACCTAGTCTAACACAGAGAAGACTTATAATTCTCATCACTTTGCTGTGATTTGCCCCACAGTGATGCTGCCCATGGGCATCTCCAGGGCAGCATTACCTCCTCACCCTGGCGTTGGGATCTCAACCTGACAGACAGAGCGAGTACACAGCTGTGCAATCCCCTGGGAGGTCACAGCCCCATGGGGGGTCCTGAATAGGGGCAAGTGTCCCCCAGAGAGGCCAGGGAGAAGGATGCTCCCCTGGAAAGCTGATGCTGTGGTCCTCTCACTTGAGGCTCTGCCGCTGGAGAAGAAGGGGCACAGCAATGCTCAATAAGACATGGTGGGCACACCCACACCAGAGTCATGACCCACCACGTTGACATGTGGCACATGCTGGTCCTTACCACTGGGATGTGCATCAGATTCAGACACTAGGAATCCACATGTATTGAGGCAGCATTTTAAGTCTTATTAAAAAAAAGTATAAAATGTATTACTACTCTGTGATACATTCATACTTATTTAATGAAACTTACTGTCTATGCAAAACACGTTTAAATAAATCACAGTAACAAGAACTACTTGATTTCATAAGCAACTTACATCCAATATTTAATATTTTAAAACTCCTTAAGGCTTAGTTTTAACTTAATTAACCAGAACATTGAGATAAAAGCCTTTAAAAGAGAGCTGAGCTATATATTGAACAGCAATAGAACGGGATTCTAAAAGAGATCTTGAAAAGCTTGCTGTAAAGAAATCATCATTTTTATCAGGAATCATCTCTCATTAAGTATTGTCAAATAAAGCAGAGTTACATATAAAAGCTCAGAAGTCCTGTCATTAACACAGGAATATTTCAGAAGCTACCACAAACTCCTTATGAGTTGCTATTTACAAAACTGGATGGATTTTCTGTTCAAAGTGGCAAATCACACACTTCCCCAAAAATTCAGTTTGGGGCTGACCAAGCATGATTATAAAACTGGATGTGAAATATGGGGATAGGGGAAAGACATGAAATCTGGAAAAGATGGATAATAATATTTCAATATCAACATCCTGTTTTTACACACACAAAAAAAACCTCAAGTTGAGTTTCTAGTTGAATTTCAATCTGAATTTGTTTCTTTGGCTTTTTTCAACGTTATGACTTTTCCTTACATTCCATGAGGTTAGAGATATGAAAAAACAAACTACACATGACCAACAGTAGGGAAAGGCTCATTCCAGGACACACAGGGTTGGTTATCTGTCTCCCACATAAAATACAATCCAACAGTGGCTAGCAAAGGATTGCTGACTTAGCTGATCAAATGTTTCTTTTTACTTCTTACCTTACAACAGTTACTTTCTTACTTTACAACAGTTATTAATGCATCTCAGATGTAAGTTTTATTTTTCTTATGTAGGACAGGAGTTCCTGAAGAGCATGAAATGTACCTGGAATGAAAGTTGTCAGTTTCATTTATATGAAATATACTTTTTAATTTAAGTGTTGGCTTTAAAATTCAACATTTTATTAAGATGATCTGGTATTTGCCAAACATCACCATCAAAGTCACAAATACAATAATTTGACTCTTTTTTCCCATGTATTATCAAGGAAATTTACAGAAATGAAACTAAGCCTAAACTAAGGGTGCCTGTCCCTCTGCCAAAAACACTGATGTTTTTCTTTTCTTGCAAGGATGTCAGCAGTATATTTAGCACCAGAATGGAAATAGGGGAGGTTGGACTAAAATATTCCTACTTCATATCGCAGGTCTCAAATTCTCCCTTTTGTGCCACTCCTGGGTTTACAATCTGGATATTTCATACTTTCTTTTGAAGAGTTTTGACAGAAAATTGCTTGTCTACCTAAAATTCAAAACCAGCTTTAATAAGATACACGAGATGCACAGATGAAGCCTTCCCCAGAAAATGGTATTTTTCCAAAAGAAAGTGGTGGTTTATTTTTTGTTTATTTGTTTTTAAGTCATGAAAAGCAGATGAAGCAGCAAATGACAGAGGAATTAATTGTATAAACAATAAATGTGAACATCTCTGCTGCATAAAGTCAGCCTAATTGAAATACAGGGTTACTCTGTGTGAGATCAGACACACACAGAGTTAAATACAGTGGTGCTGTTGAGATACTAAAAGATGAGATATTGCTGCTGACCACAGAGGGCAAATTACAATTAAGTACACATCTTTCTGGGAAGTTTGCCAAGGGAAAAACAGGGAGAGGTGGCCATTACTGCTGCTATGCTTAAGCTAGGGAAAAATGGAGATGTAGCTGCTTTAACTCTTACCAAATGAGCAATTGCACTCAAGAGCACAAAGCAAATCAATGCTAATGAAACAAATCATGAAACCAGCTCTGAGAATGAGTTCAAAGCACAAAAGTAGATATGCTTCAGCTCTCTCTGTGTTATCAGCTTAGCACTGGGGCACCTGCATCACTGCTGGCTGTTGCTGTGGCATGGTGTTTTTGCACAAAACCAGCTTCACAGAGTGAAAAAACAAAAAAGGATAAACAAAAAGTGTAGATGTGGCATTACAGTAGAAGAAATGAGGGAGATTCAAGAAGCAAAAAACAAAGTTTGAACAGCATTTTTACTTTTGATAACAGGGGTACCAAGGATAACTGAAACCATGGAGATAGAGTGATACCAGCAGAACACAATCAAGAATAGTCATATAGAGCTGAATTTCCCCAGCAGGCAAAGGAGAAAGACAGATGACAACTCTGGCCACAATGACCCTAATGTGTAAAGGATGAAAGCATCCCAACCTACCAATTCCCTTAATGAACTTGAGATTTATTCTATTAGGGGATCCAAACTGACAGAAAGAACACTGCTAATGGCAGGAAGATGCCACATCCTACATTATTACAGCACTTGTTTGTTTCCTTACAGAGAAACTGTCTGATTCAGCATCAAACAGACTATTCTCACTTTTCAGTCAAGGTATCTTTAGAAATTTTCTACAGATCTTTGCTGGTAATACATGGTACTAATACTTCTATACCTAAAATTTAGAGGAATGACTGTCTCCTGAAGCCCAAGTATGGTCTGCAGCATTAACATATTCCTGCCATATTCTAATTGTGATGGCATCTAAGCAGAGGGGGACACTTCAGCACCAATCTCTCATGTACCATGGAGAAACTTACCTCCTCAAATGCATCCCTGACTGGGTAGTCTTGTTCTGAGTCCAATGTTAGCTCCAGTTCTCCTGTCTATCATCCCTGTTGTTACAAGATCTCTTTTCTATAATATATATAATTTATAATTATATTTTCAGTGTGAAAAGTCACCATTAAACAACATAAATTAGACTATGCTCTACAAGATTCTTGAGTATGTCTTTTTTCTTCTTTTTTTTTTTATGTGTGAGAAAAATTCCTTTTGGTGTGAAAAGAAAATACTGGGATTTTCCCCTTGCATGATTTCCTGAGATCCTTGGTAAGCAAAGATTATTTATATTATTGTCTCTCACCATCTCTCACCCTCTCACAGGACTGGGCATCCAAGCTGTACCCAGCTATGGCTAATCAAAAGAAAAATTTCACAAGGAACAAAAATAATACAGATTGAAAAGTCCAATTTGAAGCCTCAATTTCTATAGAAGTTCTTCTTTGTTATTTTTGCCATGACAAGTTGGACTTATGGGTCTTCTCCTGAGAGGTTTCCCTTTCCAGTGTCTCCAAACCAGTAGCCAGCACTTCACAGAAGTCTCTGGTGCAAAGAAAGCCATGTCATAGACATGCTACAGAAACCAAACTCATTCATTAGTCCTTTTAACTCAAATACCGTTTCATAATGAATAAAAGTTTGGGACCCAAAATTTACTTAACAGCATAAACTGATATTTCCATGTGGTTTCTATAAACTCTCAATCCAGGATCAACATTCAAGGGCTTAATTGCACAAAAAGCAACATCACCAACTTGTCACTCTGATTGACCTGTCTTAACACTGAGTGTCAAACCACTTGCAAAAACAATACCACAGTGAAAAAATAATCAGTCTTGGCCTCAGTGCACATTTGCCTGCAAAATGTTATCATAGAGTTCAGAAATTTGAAACATCTCATAAATAAAGAAGGTGTTAAAATCCTTACCTACACATGAGGACGCAAGCATTTTGCTGCTTTTTGGTAGCAATCTTTTACAGGAGTCCTTTCCCAGTCTGGTCATGCACAAGGCTGTAGGCTGAAGCAGAAACTGATTTAAATATGCATAGGCACATGCATGTGTCCATGTTTATACACCTGCACACACATTTCTAAGCATGTGCAAAGGAAAGAATGGACATAGGGAAGATTTTAAGAAAGCTTTTCCGCAGGGCAAGCTTAAGGAAGCCAGGGACAACTGCTCTTGGTACACTGATGTGAGATTAAGAAAAAAAGGAAATGGTTGCCTTTGATGAAGGAGTTTAGAATAGGTACAGCTGCATTGAGCAGGAACAGGAACTTTGTAATAAAAACACTCTGATGTGGCATTTAACCCAGAAAACCAGTGAGTAAAAATAAATACACGTCCAAAAAGCTTAGGCTATTCTGGTGCTGTTTTAATCACTTTATCACAGCACAATATTTGGAATTCACTGGAACTTAAGTTTCTAGTGATTATTTAGGGTTGCTGCAACCAGTTACTGGACATTTGTGTCTTTTAGGTAGTTGTATAACATGAATCGATTACAGCATCTGTGAGCACAAAGTTCTGCAGTAGTAACTGCTCAGTTAAGGAAATTTAGTGCCCAGAGCCAAGCCCCCTATCACTCACATTCTTTGTTGGGTTCATCTCTTTTCCTTATGGAGGTTGTTGGCATGGATTGCTACTGTCCTAAAGTCCTACAAACTGAAGTCCTCTTGTTCTCACTCATTTGGGCTACTTTTTTCCAGTCCAATACAGCTGTCAGTCAGGGGGGGATCTCTTTGAGAGCAACAAATGAGCCAGATGCATAGTTCAACAGCCAGACACTTCAAGTCATAACAAGCTTGTGAAGTGAGCTAATTTTGCTTGCAGAAGAATTAGCCTTTATTAGCCACTAATACCACTTTTTGCCCTGCATAGCCCTTTAACCAGCTACAGCTCCATTGACATCACATTTTGGAAAGATTACTAGTGGCACATCTGGTTATAGAAAGCTTAGAGGGCTTCCTAGGGCAGTTACCACTTATTAGGACATGAATGAACTTAAACTATCTGATGAGGAATGAGCTGAAGTTACAACACTGTAGGCATTCATATGGGGTAAATCTTGTCATTCAGACCACAAATTCTGCAAGGCATTTTTGCCTGTGTCTAATTTTTATCTAATGTTTATCACATGTATATTTTAGTATTATAGTTCAAATTCATATTAATAACCTATGAGGTAATAATTGATGGAGCACATGTACTGAATTGCATCTATACATATATAGATAGATAGATAGATACAGATATGCACTTATGATATTCAGTCCTAGGTTTAGACAGGGATGAAATTGTCAGTACTTTGGATTTTTCTATATTCTCTGCTTATGCAGAATTGAGCAAAGTGAATAGCCTAGCTGCACTCACAGACTCACTGCAAATTTGTTCTGCCTTATTCACTAGGATGTACAAAACTAAATCAGCCTCAATCAGGTGTGATTACTTTTTTTTTTCCTATGGAAATATGCAGTGCTGCCTTACAACTTTGGGATGCTGCTGTAGATTAAAAATCATCTGCTGATCTAGAGACAAAAGATCAAATCTATTTTAATCAGCTATGGCACTCCCTGCACAGCAAAACAGTAGAAGCTATTGAGCTTCCGACCAAGTACAGGCAAACTCACTTGATTTCATTTCAAAGGGTTCAAAGTCTAAGTTAGGAGAAAAATTATATATCTGCATAATGTTTAAAGAAATACAAGGAAGTATAAGGAAGCTGCACAGGTTGCAAAGATGAGAGGCAGAAGAGAAAAAAATCTCAAAAACAAAATAATAGTGTATTAAACAAACCACTTGCAAGTTTTCATTAACTGTAGTCTAGCTTTGAAGAAGAGGGAGAACAGCAAGTATTGTAGGTTCTCAGTCAAGTTATTTAGGTGGAGAATCCAAACCAGGTGCATTTTTTAGCAAATATAACCATAAAAAAAAGGATTACAAAGGTAACTGATGTCTAAAAGTAGTAAAAAGGCCAACAAAGGAAAGAGAGGAAGATAACTTTAAGAGTTGCCTACCTCAAAAAAATTAGGGTGTGGGCTCCTGTATACTGGGATTGTGCCTCAGACACTGGAAGTAATAGTCCTGCTGTTTCCCAAATCACAGCATCGCCTTACCTCTCCTACAGCAGCAAGACGTCTCCTGACAGATGGACTGCAGTTTCAGCCTCAAGTGATGTCTTATATTTTAAATTTTTCCAGTCTGCTAAATAATGAATGGGTCCTGATATGCTTCTCCTGTATTATAACAGCAATAATGTTTAGAAGCAATAATGTGTTCTCTCATAGATGGAATGCTCAACACCCTTCAAACAAAAACAAAGTAAAAAGAACAAATAAGGTTGAACTATTTCCTTTAATGTAACACATATTTTCTGTGGATTAGAAGGATGGGTAGAAACACTTCTAACACTAACTTTTCATCATTTAGAAAACTGTAAGGAAGGCCTCCCTGGGACCAAACTGGAAATTCTGATGAACACATTTCAGTATGGAGCAGCTGACACGTGGAATCAAACCACCATTTAGCATTCATGGGTAGGATGTATGATCACCAAAAGCATATCTGAGCAAAAAGGGGGAGCAAATCCAACCAGACTTCAGGCTGTGCCAACAATAATAAGCATATGCCCCATACACAGGATCAGGAGGGGGTTCTCACTCCTTCTGTCACACACCAGCATGGCTTTGATAAGAAAACTGTGGGTCTAAAATCCATGGTTACACCAAAGAGAATTTGTCTCTGCCTTTCCTCCTGATCATGTTCTACCAAGTCTACCACAATGGATTCTACCTTGAAAATTATCAATGAGTGTAGATGCAATCACCCTCTTTTTGCAAGTAGGCTGGATAAGTTCCTACACAGCATTTGAATGGGTAGGCCCTTAAACATTTCTTTCGTATGGAAAAGGAAATAATCCAGCAGAAAAAAGTCCCAAGCGTCTCATGGAAATGCAATTCCTCTCCCATATTAGCAACACCAGTTCTCCTCATCAGTGCCACAAGCAATATCTACAATATTTGCATTTTTACTTCACCTATAAACTCAGAAATATCTCATGAATGCAGGGCTGGTCTTAGCTGAAACACAATACAAAAGCTCATCTGCCAGTTCATTTGGCAGCTCTGCTGCTCCCAGTACTGGTGCCACACAGAGAAGGCAAGAAGGTGAAGAAAAAAGGTTGTGCAGGAAAAGCTCCAAGAAAATACATAGCTTGTCAGTTCCCCTTGCAAACAAAAAATAGCTATCAAAGGTGAAACCTGCTTTGTACAATACACAGAAAGAAAAGAAACACTATAGAAAGGACATGTGCTGCAGACTAGCAGGAGCAAAAATTCCCATCAGCACTGTGAACTGGCTAAGATCACTGGTGAAAGAGAAAAACAATCTTACAGGAAAAGCAAAGAAACCTAACAACATGGTTAAAGCTAAAGTGAAGAGAAATAATACTTCCTAAAAGTGCAACACACTTCCAACTGAGGGGAGCAGCAGAGAAGGGAAGCCACTGATCCCACATCCACAGAAAATTCAGATCCTGAGAACAAATTTGCCATGTACCACAGACAAAATAAGTGTCATCTGCTCCATGTGATACTGCCAGAGATACTGATGGTCTCAGCAAGTTTCTGGATTTGATGTATCAGGAATTGAGTTGCCACTGACCCACATGGAAAGGACAAACCTGAAAGGAGGGATTAGGATTGGCACAGGCAACTTGGGTTAAATTTGTACAATGCTAAAAATCAGGCTGACATTTTTGTTTATGTTTCCCCTCTCCCTGCCCTCCTGAGCTCTCATTATTAAAGAGTGAAGAACAATGTCAGATCTCACACAGAGTCAGCACGGCATGACATGGGAAGTCTGCACTAAAGCGATTTTATGGACATATGATTTCAAATGAGATCAAAACTTCCCCACAACTGCAGCCCTTCTGCTTCTAAGACTTTCCCCAATTCTGAAAGTTATTGACATTTACCCAAGGACTTCTTTTTTTAAACAGCTAGAAAGCTGAAGTATTCTGGAACCGTCGTAAACAGACAGTCATACTCTAATATGGGACATTGCTCTGGAGATCCTGGCAGTCTGGATTCAGAGAAGCCCTGTAGCTGAGGCTGGAGCAACCAGAGGGATTTTGCATTCCCGTTACTGCCTATGCAGTCAGCTCCTGGCCACAGAAAACATGCAGTTGTCCTTTAATTGGGAATTTAATTAGAAGAGATTTTAGCTACATGAAATCTCTGTAGAGGGGGATATTCCTTGCCACCTCCTGCAGGCAATGAGTGTTTGGAGTTATATGTCTCAGGTCATATTGGCAGAGCAATTCGGCTATCAGTTGCAAGGATGTTTAGGGGATTTATCAGATTGTAAAATAGTGAAGTATTTTGGCCAGTCATCTGTGGCTTGCCAGACAGAAACTTTGAGTCACAAAAGCAGAGGCTGCTGGCCAGTGAGCCCCATGTGCCCATCTCCAGCCCATTAAAGGATCTGCCACAGCAGTGCTGCAGCACTGGTGCACCTTCACTTTCAGTGAGGCACACCAGAGAGAAGCTTTTAATCCTGTTCACCGTGTATTAACTTGGTGCTTATGCGACGCAGGCTCTTTCATAAATTGTTCTGTGAGGGGTTTTGGCAATGGTTTCATATTACAAAGCTTCTTTTTATATCCCCTGTTGCCTTTTTCAGGTCCTATCCACCCATTCCTTACAACTATTAATAAAGTATCCCTTCCTCCAGCTGTCAAACCAGGCTTTACAGTCTGTTTTTAAACTATTGTTGCACTTCTAACAATTAAGACTTCACAGCTTATGCTGCTTTTTTCCCCCCTTAATCCAAAGTGCATTTTTAAAGGCGATATATCAGCTGACATCTTGTCCTAAAAATAGGCAATCAAAAAAAGCTAGAACTTAATTAAATGCTTCCAGGACTTTCTTTTTGTTGTTGTTCAGCTCAAGTATTTCTCATAAATGCAGTTACTTCAGCACACAAATTGTACTTCTCGGTATTAGCAGGAAAGAATTTGAGGGGAAAGTTAATTCTAAGCCAAGTGTCCTGACAGCACCTGTGCTTGTGCTGTCCTTTTAGAAAGCATGTCCTCTTGCTACCCCTGCATTGGGTAGACTCACCCACACAATGGACAGAGAAATGGAATACATATGTTATTTATGCTTTATAATACCTATCCAGTGTAGCTGTTATGCCTATTCCACATATGGCACAGTCAGCACTGGTCTCACCACTGTCTTACCAGAACACTGCATCTTAATCTTTGGTAAAGTTCTAGGGCAGCTAGAAAGTTGATGCCTTGCGAGGCTGAACCTGGAACAGAGACTGGACAGAGGTAAGAGAATAAATAAAGTAGGTATCAATTAATTAAGTCTTAAAAGTATACACCTTGGGCAGCACAAGAGCCTGCCCAGGGCTACACCCAAGATGGTCCCAAAAAGGTCGTAAGAGGGACGACCGGTCACAAGGTTTCATGCTTTTATAAGTTTTGGAACCTTTGCACATTGGGGTTAATTGTCCAATTACAGCTTCAGGTTATGAAGTCCCATCTTCCTTGTTTGCTCCCCTCAGTTCTTAAGGTCAAAGTGGTTGTCCTTGGTCTCAAGCTGGAAAGGGACTGTTTTGTCTTACCACCCTGTGAAGAGAGCTTACTGACACCTAATGTGAAGCTCAGAGCTACACACCTAGGCAGCACAGAATCTGAGAAATATGAAAGTTAAAACTTAAGGCATCATTGTTAGGGAAAAGAAATGGAGAGACAGGGTGATGTCACTGCTCAGCTTTAATTCCTTAAGCCTGGATCATGGCCAAGTACAAATTCCAGTTTCCAGGACAGCAGTACCCAAATCTTGTCAGCTTGATTCAGAAAACCAAAGATCAGACACCAACACAATGAAAAATGAACATGGATTTTGTTCACACCCATTTTTTCTTCGTCTTCCCATGTCATGTTGACAAACCACACAAACAACTGAGTTTCCCTACTCTGAAACTTCTCTAGTTTGGACCTTTAAAAAATGGAGGTGCTCAAAATAAACAATCACTTTGAATATCTTCAAACTACACAAGCATGAGGCAATAGAACAATAAAACTGTAAAAGGCATCATGAAAACGAAAACCAGTATGACACAGCAACTAAGATCCTATAGCTTTCACTTTTCTATTTAAATTGCAATTGATCCTACTTGGTTTGCTAGTCCCTGCCATGAACTAAAACCCCATTAGTTTTCCCTTCCTTGAAAAGCAGCCCAAAGCACAGTTCTTACACCATCAAGTTTAAACTATGTGCAGTAAGAACAACACTCCATCTTATGTTTTACCTGTGGTGTTTCCTCTTCCTTGCTGAATATCTGAAGTGAAGGCATCCCAGATTTCTCTCAGTCACCGCTGACTGTTCTTTTTCCTGTTAACTCAGCCTTTCAGAAGCGTTGTTCTGGTATAATTTTTATTTAATTATAACATAAAGCTATACAAAAGGTATATACATGATTAGTATTATTCTTTTATCTAAACATACTCATTCACAAAACCAAAATGCATGGTGAGAAGTAACAAGAAGCATCAGTTCTTGAACAATAAAACCACTGAAAGAAAAAGTTTTACAAGCCAGTTCTGGTGCACAGACCACAATGTAAAAACTGCTAGATTAAACTATTTTCATTGTCTAGGATGGAAAAAGGATGAGACAAAGAAAGAATAAAATTAATCCTTGTACAACCTTATCATAATTAGAGCTGAAAAAAATATGGAAATTTAATCCTATATAAAAAACTTTTTTATTCAACATTTTTTCCTAACTTGGGATGCTAAAGTAAATCTCAGCTGTTTTGTTTTGTTGGGATTTTTAAAAAGAATTTTCAATAAGAAATAAAACTTCAGGGTTATTTTGGGAAGACATTTGAATTTTTAGTATTCATGAATTGAAAAATATTGTTTCAATTTGCTGGGCTCTTTCCCTATTTCATTTTTCATGAGACCCACAGGAGCGACTGTCTGTATCCTTCATCCTCTTCTATGGGACAATGACTGCCATAATGTACCAAGCTCCTCAAAGAAAACTATGATTCTGAGTCTTAGTGGCAAATACCAGTGGGCAAGCAAGATCAGACCAGCAGAGACTGGGAGCAATAGGCATGCAAAAAATAAATTTACTAAAGAAATACACCACAAAAGGGAAACACACAATTTACTCAAAAAAAAATAGTCCTTTAGTTTGTTTTCTAAAAGAAAAGTCCTTCATTTTGTTTTCTAAAAGAAAAATAGAAGAGCATAATGTCAAAAAAAAATTTATTTTCATAGCATGTTAATTTTTCAGAAGTTGTTTCAGAACACCATCCTGCTGGCAAATTCCTGCCCTATCTAGATCTATCCCTTTTAATCCCTGGTATTTTATATTCCCCAAAAGATAATTCTGTTGTCAAAATTATCCTTGAATACCACACAAAAAGCGGGTTAGGGCACAACTGGTAAAGAAGCAATAGCAATATTTTCTTAGAGTCTGTTTGAGAAATTCTCTGTGTTACGGTTAGTATATAAAGTTTAGGCTTCTGAACATTTAAGTATCACAATGCCATTGTCATTCAGGGAGGCAGGCCAGTTTGCTAATTAAAAGATATAGAACTGGGCAAAACATCACCTAACTTCTTTTCCAAGCTTGGCCACTGACCTACTGCAGCCTTGCTGAAGTCATTTTAACTAAATTCAAAAGCTCTGTTAGGATACCCATTTTCTTCCACAAGATGCACAAGATGTAACTCAAGTCTGTGTAATACTAAAGAAATTCAGTCAGAAATGGACTAGAAAAAATAGAAACAAATATAAAAATGCATATTTGATGCTGTTCTCTAACCCACTGTTTGATTAAATAACATGCCCTTCTCTTTGCAGTTGAATTGAGTGGTTCTTGCTTCACACTGTAGGAGTTTTATCACATTGGAATTGGTTTTCCCAGCATGATTTATCATTATTTTATTTTTAAAATAATTTTTTAAATTATTTTTTTATTAGAAAGTTAAGACAATCTCATGAGAGAAACTGGGTTTTGTGAGGTATTTTCTTCATCCAGACCAGATTGCTGCACGCTTCCACATAACACAGGACCTGAGGAGAACAAAAAGAGAGGAAACAAGTTTACAGTCTTGAAATGCCCACAGTTGTCTCAGACAACCTCAGGGCTGTCTCAAGGCTCAGGGCCACTGTACTTTATAGTCAAATGAAAATGCAGCTTGGAGTTGGGCAGGAAACAAGTGTCATGAGCCCAAACCACAGATTGCACGCCTACCTTCACTATCCATCTCACCCAGGATTGAAATCTGGGAGACACCATTTGGGAGAGCCCCCAGTGGCACTTCCAAAGCACAAGCTGTGCTGTCCATGGGCAAAAGGAAGGCAGGATCTCTGAGCGCCAGGATACAAAAGGAGCCTGTATGCATGAGAGCTCTTATCACTGGCAGGCTCTAAGGACTCACAAAGTCAGAGCAATGAAGCCCAAAATACATATATATGCAAAACAAGCCGCAAACTTTCCACCCTGATGAAAGCACAACGAGGAAAATCTTTCCGACAGATTCACAGCTGGTTTCAATCTACAGTCTAAGCATATCTAATGGGTCGCTTTTATCAGAGGAGCTCTCAGAGGGTTCTGGCTGCTACTGAGGGCAGTTTGCCACTGTGCAGACCCCTCAACAAAAGTCTGAGAGGACACTGTGTCCTCCCTACATGAACTGAGGCATGGGGTAATAGAGACCATCTGCTCCAAATTCTGGCCCCACTTGCACCTTTATTCATCCATTCCAACTCCTAAGATCTTACTCCAGCTAATGTAGCTGCCCGTACCAAAGTATCAGAAAAATGCAAAACATTCCTCTCAAAAATCGTACTTCTTCTTGTAATGCTCTCAGAAATAAATTAAAGGATTCTACCCATATGAGAACAAAGTAATATCTGGTCTCAAACCCTCCTAGGTGAAACTCTGGCTTCTCTAGAGACAGAAGAATTTTAGGTTTCTGCATTCAGAAAAATGCAGGACCTTTACCTTCTACAAACTACAAAGAGAAGAAAGTTCAAAACACCACATCCATTTATGAAAATCTGCATGCTAGGGACGTGATGAGAAGTTATTGTGGGCATGTCATGTTGTAAGTGTTCAAATATATATTACTTTATTTTTCCCCCTGAGGTTTACAGATTTGTCCTGGAACAATGGAAGTTTACAGAGAAAGGGGAGATGTCTGTGATTAAGGCGGCTTTCAGCTCTTCTTCCTACAGATACCCTGTGGATATTGCTGTATTCTCCAGAATCCAAGCTTCCACTTAAAAAACAATGAAGTTTCTAGCCCATCGGGGTTTGCGGAAGCAGAATGTAAACAGATGTACTGTTGTCTTATTTTAGAAGCTATAGCAAGCCAGACTGAAACAATAGCACTCAGAAATGTCAACTGCTCCCATTCATCTCAGTGGGGTGGGGTGTTAACTTTGAAGCCTAATTGTGACCACTTTAAAGTCAGCCTTTTAACCATTTCACTGCTATTACTATACCAGAAACTCCAAAGTAATGAACTTACCCAGCCTCTGTGTTTTTATGCATTACTCCAGAGCTTCCATTCACTTGAAAAGAACACTGCATTACAATCGAGCTAGTTTGAATATTCTTTTACTTAAAAAGTTAGCTGAATTGTTTGCTACTGTCTTTCAAAATTAGGGTTAAAAGAAAGTCAAGGGTGAAAGGTTAGCTTCATTGTTGTTACTCTCAAAAGTGCAACACGTGGGATTTCATGCTTTTTGCTTTGATCAGGGTGCCCGGATGGCAGTTCATTTCAATAAACATACAAACAGCTACATACAAAACTAAAAATAATGACTAAATAAATAACACTGCACCATCTATCAGGAGTAAAAGAACAAAAAAAGACATCTTAATGATGTGGTAGCATATACTTGCAAGAATTAAAAAAGGGGAAAGAGTAAAATGGTCTTCATTTTCAGAAAGTTATAGTTGCCATTACATTAAATCCAAGGTGTATTAGCCCTGGTTTGAGTACACAGAAAAGCTGCCCTGCTATAGTTATTTTACATCCCTTTTCCAGTAAGCTGTTGCATTCTTCATCAGTGGTCACTCTGATGTCCACATGTGAATTTTCCTCTGGGACCAGCAGCTGAAGACTAGTAACTCTACAGACACACTTTTGTAAACATTACTTCAGATGCTCTGAGAACTCATGCTGAAAATTATTAGGGCAAGCTACTCTACTCTAGCTCATGTTTCTGAGCATCCAGAATCGTGCTGATGTGAGGAGTCACGGGAGTCATGGTGCTGCAGCACATGATGGAGATGCCTGGCTGGGTTTGGTGGGGCTATTTGCCACACACCTCCTGTCTCTGCTCAACCAGCCCGCCTGCTCACCTCCACTGCAGAACATCTCTGTGTGACTGCCCATTGTGTCTGCCACAGGTCATGGGTGACACAGTGCACTGTATTCATACTTCTACAGTTACATCTACACTGACAATCCTTTTCTTCCTAATATAACAGATACTGGGCTGAGAAGTCAACACTAACATCACCACTGCACTACTCGGGTCATCATTAGTACATCCATGCTAGGTACCCTAACCAGGTAATCCTGACAGGTCTCCAGATGCCTCCATTGCAGCTGCAGCCACTGGCTCAGGGGAAATGAAACAGGAAAAGCAGTACCTCAGCTACATGACAGAGCAATGAGAATGGCATCACCCAGCAAAAGACCTTGACCAAGCAGCTGAGACAGGAGTAACCTCTTTAGGTCATGAGGCAGCAACAGAAAGAAAGTAAAGTGGAAGGATCTGCATAAGCCATACTATATTTCTTGAAAGGTAACTACTTGAGCACACATTCTCACTCCTGAATTAAACTGTCTTTACTTGGGAAGGTCTTGAATTGATATGAGTTCCTACGTGTGGTAAAGGAATAAGGTTATTTTGGTAGAGGGGGGAAAATTTACCTGCCTACACAATGCCTAGGTGTTTGTACAAACAAAGGCTTAATTCATCCAGTGCAGGTTCTTTTGCCTGCTACAACAGACAATACCCTGACATTGTTATTAGTAAGTTATGAATGCACAATCCTTCCATGTGTAAGTTCCACTGTTAGCTGGATGTTAGGGTGTTTGAAATTTGCCCTGACTGCTAAAATCACCAGATACACACCCCGCTTTTGTCAACTATCAGGGTTTCCTAAATCTTGATCTTTAAACTACAACATAGGATTTGTGAAATGCTCTTGACATAAAGGTGAAAATAAACCCCTGCTTTCACTTAAAAGCCTGTGAGCACTGACTTCACACACAAAAGGCCTGCTATGGAAAGACAGACACCTTCATTTTCTATTAACTTCAATCAGCTGCACCGAGGTGATCAGTTCTCTGCAGAAGGTGCTGATTAAGATCATGTATACATTCACAGAAGTGTCTGAGTGCTGTTAAACACGTTTTCTGCAGATGCTTGGAGGTGCAGAACAAAGGCAGCTGAAAACAGTCTTGGTAAGTTTACAATTTTACTTTATCACTGTATTAAATTCCCAATCAACATCCATAAGGCACCACACACTTGTTACAGAAAAAATAAACAGCCTCATAAAAACTAGACTTGCCCGTCTCTGCTCTGCCGTGCATCCCTCTTCTTTTCAACTGCTAGCAAGTAAAACTGCCCTGACAGCTGGATGTGTAGAAGTCTGTGCTGGCAGTGTCCTGGTCCGGAGCAGCCCTGCAGGCTGGAATGCTGACGCTGGCAGGGCTGCCACTGCGTTTACTTAACACTCATTTCTCTCAGTCTGCTTCAGACCAGAAATGCAGGCAATGAAAACCTATCCAGCCTTTGAGAACCTCGGCTGTAGTGGTTTAGCAGAGCAGGGTCTGTGCAGGTACATGAAAGAGGCATTCAGAAGACACTCCCATTCAAGGGAGGCAGAAAGAGAGCCCCCAGCTGTCTCTGGTTACCTTTTATTGGCATGAAAAGAAGGAGGCAGGAGGGGCAAGGTTTCAGGACAAATGAAAAACAAGCTTTCTAAGATTCACTGTTCAATCTCAAAACAAAAGCTCAGCGAATTTAAGCTACAGGATCTTAGTTCAATTTCTTTCAGTTTAGTAATTTATTACAGAGAAGAGAATGAAAAACCTGCTTCAAATAGTGGATTAAACATTATCCTGAAACAGAACTAGAGAGAAAAAAATATATATATTATGAATTCATCTAGCTTCTTGGGCAAAACCTATACATTGAATTCAGCTAGTTTCCTAGAGAAATAAAAAGCAAATTGGCAAATGCATAAGAAAGTGTACCATGTTAGTAGGTATCCAAGGCTCCTTGGTTAAAAACATTTACATCATGATGAAAGCTGGACAAAACAGCTGTCACAGAAGCATTATTAAGTAGAGGGTATAATCTGTAAACACTCACCATCCAAATTAAACCAAGATCTGTTGAGATGGACGAGAAATGCCTCATTTTGGAAGGCAGGCCCAGTAGCCTTCTAGAGGAAGCCAGCCTAGGGCAGCATGAGGGTGTGGGGGCTCTGGCTTGGATGTCACTCCCTGGAGCCACTGGCAGCTGGGGTAGAGGAATGCTGGCCAGCAAACACCCCCAGCCCTCAGCCAACAGGGGCAGACAGCCTGCACAGCCCTGCACTGTCCCAGCCTTCCTGCAAGCCTGAAGAAAACCCAGTTTTGTGTCTTGCATGACATGGTAGACTCTCCCTCAGGCATTGTGGGTGCCCCAGTTAGTTCTGGGTTTGTTGTATGGAGCACCTTAGAGGCAAGAGGGATGGGCCAAAGTTTCCTCACAGAAGCTTCTCCTTAGAAAAGCCAGTGCCCCCACGCAGCCACGTGCAGTTTGCACCACGAGCCGTGCTGCACAAGGGCACAGCATGGGGACCCTGCATGGCATGGGATGGCTGCAGGGACCCTTCCTGCATGGCATGGGATGGCTGCAGGGACCCTTCCTGCATGGCATGGGATGGCTGCAGGGACCCTTCCTGCATGGCATGGGATGGCTGCAGGAACCCTTCCTGCATGGCATGGGATGGCTGCAGGGACCCTTCCTGCAGGCCATACACAGCCCTGTACTGCAAAGGTCACCACACCTGCTCATGAGGGGTGAAGAGAGGAGTCTTACTGTAGCATCCAAGTTCTTCCCATTCCATGGGGACAGCACAGAGCTCCTCCTCCACAGGAAGTGTAAGGTCTGCAGAAAACAGAGGAGGGGACCACGGAAGTACAGATTCAGTGACCAATAAATATGTTCAACAATTAAAAAGGTAATGCCAGTTGCAAAAAGACAAATAATAACCATAATACCTAATATTTACACAATTCTCTATATAAACCTATTGTTTTTCTGTAGAGGTGGACAAATATTACCTAACTAGTCACTTGAGGACACATGGTCAAAGCCTTGGCTTCTTGATGAATTGCAAAAGTCTTTTAAAGTGTGTCTACACGCTCCAAAGTTTGTTGTATTAGATCTAGGCAACATATGTTTAGGTACACTCATGTAAATATCTTGAGATAACTCAGAACCCTTTATAAATTTAGGTGGCCTTCATGACACATAGGTAGGTCTGTGAGACCTGAAAAAATTATACATACTAGGTTAGGGGCAACTTCAATAATTTTTCAAAGACCAGTAATTTACATCTAGGTTATAAGTTTTTGCTAATGTTTCCATTTCATGATGTGTCTCTAAGTTGTTATCTACCCGGAAAATAAACTATCTGGTTGAAGCAATGATCTGGATAGCATGCTGGCTATCACCTTGATACACAGTGAGACAGAAAAACAGGAAGGATTTATCTGGAATTAATTTGGCAGTACTGTAGAATTTTCTGTGAGGGAAACTGTGCAGGTGTTTATGTAATTTCTTAATTCTTTGAAGAGGTGAAATGTATAATTGAAAAAAAGTTCTTAGAAACACTTAAGAAGAAAAATATTTTACTTATTACAGTAACTTCTTTTTTATAGATCATTCTTTTAGTCTCTTAACATATCTTGAAACAAACATAGACTGCCAAATATTTTAATCAGAGTACTTCTGATCTGTAATCTCTTTGATACAGATCCTGTCTTAATAAATCATTTCACAGCCTTGAAGAACCATTAAAAGCAAACTACAGCATTTGCAGTTGTAGTATAAAGTTTTACTTGGCATTCCTGTAGGTGATATGAGAGAGTACAAACAATGGTCAAAATTCAATATTGATACCTGAATATTTAAAAATTGGTGTATAAGGACTTGGTTCCTGTCACTTTTCAAGCCATGCTACTGGAGCTGATCTTAAAACCTGACATTAAATGTTATGAGAGAATATGATAAGGTGAATTCCTAGAAAAACCTGACTGAAGGCAACAGAAATCATCCCACCAAAATGAATAGGATTTGGCCAAAGCCTGTGTTAAAAGCACTCTGAGGAGGGAGAAAAGCTAGAAGCAATAGGATTTTAATCTCTTTGGCTCAACATCAGGATTGATTATTTTGTATCAGATCTTTCACACACCAAATACATTTTGGACAGAACATTAAAGATAAATAAATCAGTATTTGTCTTATTTTGCTGAAAAGAACATTTACTGGCAGCATATTTTCATCTCTTCTCAGATTTTATGTTGGGGGCAAATCTTGGAGGTGGGAGAGTAAGTTCTCTAGCAGGCATCTGCTAAACATAATGCAGTTGTATTCTGTTACTAAAACTGTACTCCTTCTAGTGTTTTTCATGACATTCATTTTCTCTGTAACATTCTGCTTTACTAGTATCCCAAGATGACCCTAATCAATTTTTCATCCTAGTCACCTTTGCCCACCTGTCTCCTCACTTGCAGAGTGACTTTAGCACTTAACTGGGCAAGTTACTCTTCCCTTTCTGTTTTAACTATAAGGGGCAATTGTAGGTCAGTCCCTCATGGAGAATGGATCCTGCACCTGCACCTGAGCTCCCACCCACATAACCAACATTGGCAGAGTGTTTAGGAGATTCTTCTGGTTCACATTTCTGTTACACTGCCAAGTTCAGTTCTGTCATGTGTTCAGCTCCTCCTGTTTTCTCCTTGATTGCGTGTGCTTTCCTTCTCCTCAACCACCCCACCTTCCAGAGCAGAAAAAGGAGCTGCTCACACTGGACATGGCCAGAGCCTGTCCAAAGTATGCTCTGAGTCTGGTCCCACACTGCCACAAAATCATTAGCACTAACATGGAAGTCCTACCCATTTCTGGGGAAAGCCCAGCTCACATATCACATTGGCTCAGCAGAGAAGTAGCAGCCTTTGAAGGGATTTAGCTGTGTTCAAAATGAAATATTTTTTCCCACTTATACACATGAACAGCTGCCACCCCTGTTTTAACATCCCCACTACCCACCGTCCTTTCCAAAAACTGGAATAATGAAAAAGAGCAGTCCTGGTGACAATATTATTTATTCGTTAACAGATCCAAGCTCTGTGTGACTTGCAACATGTCGTAGTAAATGCAAGAAGTTGCAGCACCTCACTTGTAGGAAATGCCAACCAAAAAATTTAGTGCTAAATATGATTAGAAAATACTAAAGAATTTGAAAGCTTTGCTTCAGACATAGCTATCATTAATTATTGATTGCACAGGAAATTCCCATGACAAGCTTGTTAGAAAGGTTTTGTAATCCGTTTCCAAATGAAGTGTAATAAAATATTGAGAAAAAGTTTGAAATAATGAAATAAATCAAGTTATTACAAGTCACGCTGATTTACATCAGTATTTACCCACCATGAGATGTTTCGTATTTAGGGAAATTTTGGTAAATATTTTACTGACTCACTTCTCCAGGGCATTTCTGTCAGAACATGTGCTATCTGTCAAACCAGGCATAACCACCAAACTCTCTCACTCCACCTTGACTCCTTCTGCTTCTTTCCTGTATTTCAATGCTAGGTTGTACACAAATAGAAAAGTATTACTATGTTTTTACAATTCTTGGGAGTCCAGAAATATGTCCCAGATTGGGGAAATCCTTTCCTATGGACACACTTACTCAGCATCACTATAATCCACTATAAATATACTACTCACACTTTAAGCTGTTGCCACAGCCTCACAAAGCAGACTGAAATTTTGTACACAACTTTGACTCCTATGAACCAAACACAAGTTTCACAAAAATTTCCCTTCCTACCACTGAGAGAGAATGGCCTATGAAATTCATACTGCACAAAACCAGAACAAAACACTTTGGAGGAGGAAGCCACAGTTACACCATAACTATTTGATGTTGCAGGGGGAAGAAGGCATAACTTAACTTGTTCAAAGCACTTGGACTGAGCACTGTATTCTTATCACTTATCCCATGTAACTGTGCTGATCCAATTGATCTTTATTTGAATAAGTAACTTTGATGACCGCCTGGTCATTAAAGTGTTTTCCCCTTCTATCTGTCATTATACAGCTGAGGATTACAAAGTTTTAAGTCCTTGGGAAGGGGTTTTCCTAACAAGCTTTAAAAAAAAAAAAAAAAAACCAAAAAAAAAACCAAAGTATTTCATCATTCAAAGAAAGTGCAGAGAACTTTCATGAAGATTTTGTCTAGTTTCCAGAGTTGTGGCTTTTTAATTTCTGCAAGGTAATACAAGCAAGATCCATTTCTGGGAAAACACCTGAAAATATTGTGCATAGAATCACAGAAAAATAGAATAACTGAGTTTAAAGGAAACCATCAAGATCATCTAATCCAACTCCTGGGCCTGCACAGGACACCCGAGAATCCCACCATGTGTCTGAGAGAACTGTCCAAATGTTTCTTGAGTTCTGTAAGGCTTGGTGCTGTGAGCACTTCCCTGGGGAGCCTGCTCCAGTGCCCAGCCACTCTCTGGGTGATTTTTTTTTCCTGCTAGCCAGCCTAAACCTCCCCTGACACAACTTTGTGCCATTTCCTTGAGTCCTGTCACTGGGCTGGGCACCACAGAACACAAACTCCTGCCTGCCCCTCCTCTTCCCCTCACGAGGAAGTTGTAACTGCAATGAGGTCTCCTCACAGTCTTCTCCAGACTGAACAGACCAAGTGATCTCAGCTGTTCCTCAGCTGTCCTCTCAAGGACTTTCACCATTCTCTTGTCCCTCCTTCAGACACTCTCTAACAGTTTAATGTCTTTTTCATACTGCAGTGACCAGAACTGCCCCCAGCACTGGAGATGAGGCCACCCCAGCGCAGAGCAGCAGAGTCCCCTCCCTTGCCTGGCTGTGATGCTGTGCCTGATGCACCCCAGGACAGGGATGGCCCTCCTGGCTGCCAAGGCACTTCTGACTCAGATTCAGTGCAGAACATAAGGAAGGTAACATGGAAAAAGTCAGGAGATTGAGCTGCACTCAGGATTCTGCATCACTTTACAGATGTTGCTGTGTTACAGCTAGCAACCAGAATTGGAGGTCTGTATGGTTTCTATTATATTGTTGTCCAAAACAACACTAGAAGATAAAAAGACACAGCTGTGAAGTACATTGGTATGAGGTTTCAGAAAAATAACTCCAGTTTCATATCTCAGTTGGGTCATGCTCACACAACAGGAATGAACATTTTGTAATTGCATCAACTGAACTGGACTTGTACAAACAAGACCTGATTAAGTTTTGTCTTGCAGTTTCCAATGTTCAGCTGCAGCTTTTTCTAAGAATTTCCTATTCCTGGAAATTATGAATTTTTCATGAGTCCTCTGATGAACTGTGAACACATAATGGGAGATTAGGTGATTGAAATGAATTCTTGTGCCCAGTTTTAAACTTAATTAGCTTGGTTTCAAACACTGAATTGTTAATGTACTGAGAGTATGGTATTCTAAACACTATTTATACTATTTCTAAATTGTTCTAGGACATTTCTGTGTGTTCATACACCTCGTTTACAAATGTTTCCAGGGTTTTAAGCAGTTTAACTTAATAACCCAGTAAAGATTAAGCCTAAAGGTCACACATGTCAGTGTGATCAAAGTCTCTCTGTTCTTAAATGAATATACAATTCAGTGCAATGTAACTAGCACAATGAAATCACTGCTGCCAATTGATGCAGGCAAACAGATCACAGTCTGGGAGAAGGTCTATAGGCAGAAGACCCAACCATTCCTCTCAATGTCATCCCACACTTCTGACCAGAATTTAAGAAAAAAGAAACCTTTCACCCAAAAGAAGAAAAATTAGTCAAAATCACTACAGGAGGAGGACTGAACGCAGTA